TAAATTTTTTTCTTTTTTTTTTTTTTTTTTGATCAAATGAATGCAAACTTGTTGAGCATAAGTGACATTTCAAAAACATTACAAATTTGTTTACATCTGATAGTAACTGATGGCTCATCCTCTCTCAGGCACGCTGTGGAACCTCTCATCTCACGACTCTGTAAAGATGGAGATCGTGGACCACGCGCTGCATGCCTTGTCTGATGAGGTGATGGTTCCTCACTCGGGCTGGGAGAGGGGGAACGAAGGGGGAGAGGAGAGCTGCAAACCCAGACACTTGGAGTGGGAGACAGCACTCACTAACACCACCGGCTGCTTAAGGTATGTTACATTAATGCATTTGGCAGATGCTTTTATCCAAAGTGCTTTACAGTGAATTCAAGGTATACATTTTTCAGGCTGAGAATCAAAAGCAGTTAAGCCAGAGGAACACAGAGAGATGGGCGGAGGAACGGATTAGCATGTGTTGAGAAGGGACAGTTTTATGATTCCGATTAATGAAAGGCGTTAAAGGGAGGAGGGGTGTGCCTCAGTGCTGCTAAAGAATTCCTGTCAAGAAAGTTTGTGTGTGTGTGAGGAAACTGCATTTTATATGGAAGAAAGGAAGGAAGTGCAAAGGAAATGCTCTGAATTGTGTTTGCGAGCAAGAACCTCTGAGACTGTGAAAGAACCAGGACAGAGTTTGGACAAAAGAGAGAAATGTGATCTTTGAATCCACTTATTTCCCTTGAGTGCTTCTCTTTGAGAGTGTCCCTCACTTCTCCCACTCACCTATTAGGCTTTTAGAAAGCACTCGGTTCAGTCGGAGGAATGGTTTTACACCGTGATTACATTTAAGTAGAGCTAACGGTGTGTCTTTTTAACCCTTACTTTCTCATCCACAGCTTTTCAGATGCCATCTGTATACACTTGCTAAATATGTTTTAGGTGATGACCTGAAGCTATAGCTTTCTGTGCATGCCAAACATTACTAAACTTCAAACCGGCTGTGTCCTAATTAGTTGCATGACGTTTCGCTCCCAGGAATGTGAGCTCGGAGCGGAGCGAGGCCAGGAGGAAGCTGAGGGAGTGCTCTGGACTGGTCGACTCTCTCATGTACATAGTACAGTCACAGATCAACTGTAAAGATGTGGACAACAAGGTAACATCTGAACTTTGACCATTGGGGTTTTGAAAACTGCACTTTCATTCACACTGCTCTTTTATGAAGGGGAAGCACAGGAGTACAGTGTTTTAGGGAAGAGCAAAGGGGGAAGAAAGCATTGTTGGTCATTTTTATTATTGCATATTGAATATTTTGTGTCATATTTGAATGCACTGTTATAATTAGGCTTGGGTAATTCCCTAGCTAGTTCCCCTTTTTGGACGTTAGACAATTTATTTATTTTTTTTTATATATATAAATGAAAAATAACTAACTACAATTAATTAAAATCACTAAAATCATTACTGTTGAAGGGTTTGCACTGATTCTTTAAGATTTGTGCTTTTAGTTGTGCTCAAATGACACCGCATCGTTAAAGATTTGGAATTATAAAGTGCAATTGGAATCTGTAAATTCTGGATATTCTGGATACTAACACTTTAGTTAGTAGGATAAGCCTCCGCTCTTTTATCAATGATAAAAAAAATTGGTATTTGGCATTGGTAGTTGTTGTCTTTCATTCTTGTACACTGTCTATTATTTAATCATGTTTATTATGTCTGTGTGCAGCTGATTGAGAACAGCGTGTGTCTGCTGAGGAATCTGTCCTATCAGGTCCATCGGGAGATACCAGGCTGTGAGCGCTATCAGGAGACGACTCCTGTCAATCAGGGCCCCGCCCCTTCCCAAAAGGGCGGCTGCTTCAGCTCCCGAAAGGGCAAAGGTGCGTGCCTTATTGATTTAAAGAAAAACACAGGCACTGGCTGTGGGCTGTAACTAATTAAAATAAGTTAACTTGCTATCTTTACATTCCAGTGCATAATCTCCGTGTTGTGTAAACCACTAAGATGCCGTGTCTATTCCTTGTCTTAATCATAGTACACACTTCGAAGTCTGTTAAGCTTGTAAGTTTGATATGTGCCAGATCAAGTTTGTTTACACAAGAAGGAGATGCAACGTGCATGATTTTCACACAAGTGTGTGCTTTGTGGGTTTGTTGCTGAATAATTGTTGGGTGGCTGGGGCACTATTGCAATCATTTTTTAATGCCAAAACAGTCCTTTCCTCTCATTTTCTTCTGTATCTGTCTCTTCCTTCAATCCGTACATCTTTTTATCCTGTAACAGACGAGTGGTTTTCCAAAGGTAAGCTTTTCTCTCTTTTTATTGTTTTTCTTTTCTTTCCTTTTTTTTAAAGTAAAGGCTTTGCTTTGCTTTCATGGGAATCACTTACATTTTTTTTCACCTCATTGTAACCCATTATTAAACCTGTTATAGGTCAAAGTTCAGAAAATGGATTTGAAATGGGAAACTCAAATGATGTTTTAAGGGAAAATAATGTCTGTCTTATCCTATTTCACATTCGTTTTATGAGCTGCACTACTTTTGTAACATAAGAAAGCATTTTATGGGGACCAGTCACACAAATAAGGTTTTTATTGATCTGAAGGAAATCGATGTGGAATCATTAACTAGTAATCAGATTATGTCGCTGGACACTAAACTCTATGGCTCAGTTTTAAAGCCTAGTAAGCTGCCCTAGTAAGCATCCAGGCTATCATGGTCAAAGGGCTTTTACCACAAATATACAAATTAGCTGTCTGTTCTTAGAAAACTGGGAAATGACTGGGAAATGAGGGATGAGATTCCTCCCAAAAATCTTTTCAGTAGTCTTTTACATACAATTTTTTTTTTTTTAGTATTATTATTGTCACTGTGGCCTTTAAAAATGCTTTCGGCATTTAAAACATTTCACTAGTAACCACCAGAGGGTGACACAACACAGCATTTCTGATCGATCCATTCTTTACAAACCTTCACTGTTCATCTTCAATCATACAGATTTATTAAAAGATTAGTCTGATTTCTTTTTTTTTTTTTTTTTACTTGCACTTTGTCACCACTCTATAATGTCGTATACTACTGTGAAAAGCCCGTTTTAAAGGCTCCAATATACCTGAGTCAAAGTTCTTTTTTTGTTTACGACTTAAAAAGCCGTTTGTAATACCTTTTAAGTGGTATACTGTTAGTGAACATTTAGATGAATATGTAAATAAATGCTGCACTGTTTCCTCTCAATGACAAAAGCGCACACAAAAAAAAAATGACATTAGTTAATAAAAGCATATGATCATAGTGAAATGGAAATGTTTGCACCAGCTCTGTAATTCGACAATCCAGTCATGTCATTTATTTATATAGCAAAAAACAGTGTCAGTGTCTCTTTCAGTTAAAATTACAGTTTCTACTACAAGAAGCTCTTAAGTGTGTTAATTTGTTTTACTCTCTTATGTCTAACCTTGAAGAAATGACCATGAAGAAGACTTTAAGAAGGTGGAGCCCCAGAGCACACCTATCTGTTGCGTAATCGCCACGCACCAAGTGGTAGTTCAAAGGTGTTCGTTTTGGCCTGATTTAGTTCTAAATTACGTCACACGAGTCCGTTCTTTGATTTCTCTTGGTGTATACTGGGGCTTTAAGTCATCCGTCATTAAATCACATCTCTGAGGGGTTTTCCTCAGAGAATAAATGTAGCCTCTGTCATAACTGTGTCTGAAAGAAAAAGTCTTTGTCTAAAGAAAATCCCCGTTTTAAATCTTTGGAGAAGAGGTTTTCTTCAGACTTAAGCTTCTAAATTGTCACAAATTACATCACTACCATTAAACAGCAGATAAGATTTCTGTGTGTCACTTTATCTCTATTTTACTTGTTGCTCATGCCGTCTGCTTTGTTCAGGAAAAAAAGAGGATGATGGAACTTCAGATACGATTGACATTCCAAAGAGAAGCACACCAGCCAAAGGTACAATGACAGTTTTGATGGCTCTGAATACTTACACTGATAGTTTCGCTTTGCCTCGTATTGTAGTTAAATACTAGATTAAATACAGTGTAATGATTTGTGTTTTGTAGGTTATGAATTGCTGTTCCAGCCAGAGGTTGTGCGTGTGTACACTTCTCTCCTGAAAGAGAGCAAGAACCTGTCGGTTCTTGAAGCCGCCGCGGGGGCTGTGCAGAACCTGTGTGCAGGCCGTTGGACTGTGAGTACCCAGTCGTTCTGAAACTTTCAGCATTTTTGTGTGTAGTTAAAATACTGCTATTGCAGTCCAAAGCGTATTAGACTCATTCAACATTAAAGGGGTCATATTGTTCATTTACATAAAAGCTTGATTCACTCTGATGACCTACTCCAACTCTCAGATCTCAAAATGAATTTTCCAGTCCAAAAACAAACAAAAAAACAAGGTTTTATTGATATTGAGCTACAAAAATTATTCATTCAAAACTTCTG